AAAAAGACTGATGTTTCCAGGAACATCCCTCAGTTATGTCACTGCTTTGGAATACTGATCCGCTGAGGCAGTGCCATGTGCTGTAAATAGCCCTAGACTAGGAGTCCAGAGACTCCATCAACTCACATCACGACTCTGAACAAATCTCTTTAGGTCTTAGTTTTCCCACTGACATGATAGACAAGATGATATATCACACCCATTTTCTCTTTAACATTCAGTAATTTCTGCTTGTTCTTACCAAGCTTAGAAAGTGATGATTATTTGAAGAAATGGAGGACAACCTGAATCAATAAGGAACATGTAAAAACATTTCGTCATTAACAATCAGCCATTGACATATTTTTAAATAATAGGTGTCTTTTGCCATCAAACCACAAAGGAGACTTTTACACAACCCATCCGCAAGCATACAGGAACATGGTTTGACTTGCGACAGCACAGTCTAAAATAAAATGTACTAAGCTGGCAATTAGGGAAATGAGTTTCTGGTTCCTCCCTGTCACTTATTGTCTTAACTTACCAAATCACTCATGATCACCATTTCCTAGTCTCTAGAATGGTCCTGTTAATTCACACTTTATTATCAGAGATGAAAGGACATTCAAGAAAATACGTACAAAGTAGTCAGTGTAGTTGAAATATCAAGATTCTAGTCTTTCCTAATCTGAGTAGTATTCATGGTAATAATTACAATTTTATACATCCCTTAAATTTTGCTGCAGGCATACAGTTTTATTATTTTCTTCCATAATAATGGATTCCTATGGAGTAAAATTTTGAATATATATTCATATTCCTGATTCTGAAGTTATACATGATTAAACCTATAATGTTTAGTTACTTTCATTTGTGTCTACTCTGAAGGTAATTGTCAGGCCTTGACACAAAATTCAGAGTTGTTCATATTTGAAATGAAGTAGGTACATATGCTAAAGTCCTATATGTCTCATTCCTTTAGAGAAATGGCAAATACCATTATATGACATATAATGTATACACAATTTTTATTGCACAAGTGCTCTTGTGGATAAAATGGGTTGTGTTCTAAAAGTATGTTTGTATTTAACTGTTT